ATACAGGTATTTGTGTTCAACATGTAAGAAGTAGAAAGTACAGGTATTTGTGTTCAACATGTAAGAAGTAGAAAGTACAGGTATTTGTGTTCAACATGTAAGAAGTAGAAAGTACAGGTATTTGTGTTCAACATGTAAGAAGTAGAAAGTACTGGTATTTGTGTTCAACATGTGAGAAGTAGAAAGTACAGGTATTTGTGTTCAACATGTAAGAAGTAGAAAGTACAGGTATTTGTGTTCAACATGTAAGAAGTAGAAAGTACAGGTATTTGTGTTCAACATGTAAGAAGTCAAAATGTAAGAAGTAAAAGTAAAAAGTCCTCAGAAAAATAAATAGTTGAGTAAAGTACTGATACCAGAAAAATGTACTTAAGTGCAGTAACAAAGTATTTGTACTCCACTACTTCCCACCTCTGGCGTTTTCCACCATGGCATGCTGCTAATCAGCCAAAATGCACAAGGAATATGCAGATGAATAAGCTCCATTGTACGAATAGTGATTCATCTCTCGGTTATTACCTGTGAGACTTTAATAGATATGCATGATTCATAGAAATCCTAGATGATCCTCTAGTAATTAAACATTCATTTCATTTACCAAGAGACATGAATGCTCAGTACCAGGGCTGATATCCTGGTGGGGTTCTCTGAGGTTGACACTACTATTGGTTTGCAGACAAATTAAACAATCCAAGTGAAAACTGCATGCTCTGTTGGTACAACCCATTGGTTCTCAGTGTTCCAGGGTCCTATGAGAGGATTAATACTGCCGGTCAGTGATGGAAAGAAGTTATGAGATTCTTTACTTGAGAAAAAGTACTTATACTACGGTATAAAAACACTCAATTTCAAATAAATGAAATGAATCGACAATGGTACTTAAGTCAACCCATCCATCCAATCCATCCTATCCATCCATGAATCTGTCCATTCATCATAAATAAATAAAACCATCCATCCATCAAAACATCCATCAATAAATCCATCCATCCATCAATAAATCCATCCATCCATCAATAAATCCATCCATCCATCCATCCGCCCCTCCGTCCATTTGTCCGTCCATCCATCCATCCATCCATCCGTCCATCCATCAATAAATCCATCCATCCATCCATCCGCCCCTCCGTCCATTCGTCCGTCCGTCCATCCATCAATAAATCCATCCATCCATCCACCCCTCCGTCCATTCGTTGGTCCGTCCATCCATCAATAAATCCATCCATCCACACGCCCCTCCGTCCATTCGTCCGTCCATCCATCAATAAATCCATCCATCCATCCGCCCCTCCGTCCGTCCGTTCATCCATCCATCAATAAATCCATCCATCCATCCGCCCCTTCGTCGGTTCGTCCATCCATCAATAAATCCATCCATCCATCCGCCCCTCCGTCCATTCGTCCATCCGTCCATCCATCAATAAATCCATCCGCCCCTCCGTCCATCCGTCCATCCATCAATAAATCCATCCATCCGTCCGTCTGTCCATTCGTCCATCCATCAATAAATCCATCCATCCATCCATCCGTCCGTCCATCCATCAATAAATCCATCCATCCGTCCGTCCATCCATCCATCCATCAATAAATCCATCCATCCGTCCGTCCATCCATCCATCCATCAATAAATCCATCCATCCGTCCGTCCATCCATCTCTCTATATATCCATCCATCCATCCATATACCCACCATTCCACATTTCATTAGTTCTTACTTTGGAGAGAGACTACAATCACACATCAACAAAGTGTTTGCTCCAGAATTATTTCGAGGAATAACAGTTTCAACAGTTTGCAGCGCAGTGATATCCTAAAGTAATAATACTGTGTTCCTCACCACATGTCGATGGGTGTTGAGTATTCTGTCGAGCCCAGCAACACGTCGGGGGGGCGATACCAAAGTGTTACCACCTCATTGGAGTAAGTCTTTGTGGGGACAGACTGTGCCCTCGCCAGACCTGGAAAACACCAACACTGTTAGGGTTTCTACCCACTACAACATCGTAATAAAAAATAAAACAGTCTCACAAAAAAACGTGTAATAGCTACGTTGGTCGACTAGGCAACACGTAATATATTCACAAATAACCCTCTCAAGACGTGACATGGATACAATATTTTGTTCCTATTAATTTCGAATGACCAGCGTCCATGTCACGTGATCGCAAACTTTCCTAGCGTGAGAAAATAAAACATGGGGACACCCGATTTATTTTTTAGTGGAAAATCCTAAATTGTAGGATAGTTTGGCCATTATAATGCTTTTTGATTACATTTCTAGCGAGAAGTTAATATTGTACTTTTAAAATCGACGTTGAGTGGATGTGTAGGATCTATAGTTTGATATATAATAGGAAAATGATTTGAGGTCTCACCAGGAGGATGTGTATATACTGTATATTCACGTCCTCCTGGTGAGACCTCAAATAATACGAATAATCTTGTTTTTTGTTCTCACTCTAGGAAAGTTTGCGATCACGTGACATGGACACCGGTCATTAGAAATGAAAAGTAAATAATATTGTATCCATGTCACGTCTTGAGAGGGTTATTTGTGAATATACTAAGTTTTGCCCTGTGGACCAACGTAGCTATTTTTTTGTGAGACTGGGTTGAATAAAGACACTTAAGCTCAGTCCTCAAGACATCTATCTTTGTAACAAACTGAGACCAGGAAGTTAATGCCGGTCTTTTGGAAGTCCTATCCCACTTTCTTCAGCTACCCTAGCAGCCCTGTGATATTCTTTATACTGAAGTTTAAATCGTTGGGCATTTTTGTAAACATATTCATTACTATTTTCATAACATTCATATCATTTTGACATTGAAATTCCCTCTTAATGTCAAGTACTATGTGACTCAACAGTACACAATGAAGTCTTACAAACTGGGCTAAAAGTGTACGAGAGCACAAGATTCTTTAAGTGGTCAATTAAGCCTCATAACAGAACACACATTGTGTTATATTAACAAATGTTGGAACACTTCCTCAAGGAGTAAGTCAACTGTACAATCTAGTTTACATGTTCATAGTTTACTTATTCTTGCATTTTACTTGCATTATTGTGGCCCCGTGCACTTTTTCTTAAACTATATTTTCTGTGTTTTCTTTCTATGTCTTTAGGAAACTCTATGCATTACTGTTAGTGGAGCCTTGGACTTTTTTGTTGATCGATTTGTATTGCCAGCAACTACGCTGTAACTATTGTGCATATGACCAAAAAAAGCCCTTTGAATCTATCTGCCCATATGCTGTGATAAAACTATTGAACAATAATGAGGGAGTCCCGGTGGGTTTATCTACCCACATCCAGCACAAAATGGAGAAACTCAGAGAGAGGGGCACAGTTGCTAGGTTACAACAAGTAAGGGTTCTAAAGGAGTCGGGGACCAAAGATCGCCGAGTGGCAGCAACATATATTTAAAATTCAATCGTGTCGGGAATCAGGCTGTGTTATTCTAAATGTGTTTCTACGACCACATTTGCATCGATTAATATGTGTGTGTGTTGCGTGGGAATCGGCTGTTTTTCCTACCGAAGTCGGCCAGTTTGAGCTCGCCCTTGTCGTTGATGAGCAGGTTCTGAGGCTTCAGGTCTCTGTGGAGGATTTTCCTCTTGTGACAGTAGGACAGACCACGCATCAGCTGGAACATGAAGATCTGTACCAGAAATGTCGTATATCATGAGGATTAAAAAGGACATATTTCCACCATATTCAACATAAATATTGCTATATTTTGTAATGTTATTATAGTTTTCTTAAAGGTCCCCTATTATACTGTTTTTCATCAATATATTACAGCTCTCAGATATCTCAGATATATAAAAAACATGTCTCTGAAGTGTTTGGCTCGAAACACCAAACAGATCATTGCAGCATCCCATAATCCCCCCCGTTTCAGCCCTGCTTCAAAAGTGCTGATTCTCTGTCTGTTACTTTAGATGAAAATAAGGAGCCACTCCCCACGACCCTCTGAGAGATATTTGGTAAAAAAGAACACAATAGCCGCTTTCACACCAAGTACTTTGCCGTACTTAGTGCCGGCACTTAGTACCCCAGGGCACTATTATACCAATCGCGTTCACACCGGAAGGGAAGATTACGCAAATGAGCCACTGACGTTACTTCGTCTTCTTCTGCTTTGAGTTTACTGGCAGGCCGCAACCAACTTCACGGCATTTACTGCAGCCCAAAGTCCCCGGCCGGAAGTCCCCGGAGTTGGGGACAGGCTTCAGTAGAAGCTGCTGGGAGTCCCAGCCTTCCGAGTAAACCGCCAGAACGCCGACACCTCCTCATCTCCACCGCTCCCATGTTTTCTTTTGTCTTGCCATAAGTTAGTCTCTCTGCGTTTCTGCGCTGGGCTAATGCTAATGCTAATAATGCTAATGCGAGGATAATAAAATGGCTGCTTCGCAAAACTTTTTGGGATCAGCTAATTTTCAGACAGGTTTTTATATAAATGGATCAGGACAAAAAGAGAGAGAATCTTTTTTCCTGAAACTTTCAGAATCTCTTTCCACAGAGGGGACACATGTTGATGTAGAAGAGACATGAAGAAGAGGGGACACATGTTGATGTAGAAGAGACATGAAGAATAGGGGACACATGTTGATGTAGCAGAGACATGAAGAATAGGGGACACATATTGATGTAGAAGAGACATGAAGAATAGGGGACACATGTTGATGTAGAAGAGACATGAAGAAGAGGGGACACATGCTGATGTAGAAGAGACATGAAGAAGTGGATTTGCATAATAGGTGACCTTTAAAATAGTTTTTTTTATCAGTGTTTTTGTTTTATTTTAATTTGTATGTATGTTTATGTATGCACCATAACACCAAGTCAAATGTCTCATATGTGTTTACCTACTTGAGAATAAACCTGTTTCTGATTCTGATATTATGCAAGTTTTCCAGTTCATATTTGCACTTGGTGCCTCTACTGTGATACAGTATGTTCTTGCTGCTCACCTTGACGTTATGCATGCTCATGAGATTCCCACAGTTGTCCAGATACTGTTTAAGGTCACTGTCCTGGAAGACACAACAGGCACACTCAAATCTACTCATAGTTCAAGATTAAATTCAAGATTCAAGGCTTTTATTGTCATTCCTACATAGCTACAGTGTAGTTATGACAATGGAATGGAATATGATATATTAGATAAATAATTTGTGAGTTGCAAACAGATGAATGTTATGGATGTTCTTTCAAAGGTTCAGGTGTTTTATCGATACTTTGTGAACACCTGCATGCTGAGCGGACGATGGACTCACCAGATACTCAAAGACCAGCGTGAGGCAGCGCTCGGTGTGGATGATGTCGTGCAGCGTGACGATGTTGGCATGTTTCAGGTTCTTCAGTAGAGACACTGCGTGGACAGAAGAAGGAGAGATACTGTCAAAATAACAGTAACAGTGGAGACAACGATAAACAATCTACCTACTATACAGAGCGTTTGAAGGTTCATTTACTCAAGTATAGCACTTTATTCAAAAGTATTTGAACTAAATGCACTAATAATCTTCTACTTATAAGGGCATGTACAGGTATACTACTTAATCAGGATACATACAAA